TGATGTACTTTTTTGGGGGGTGGTTAATGAAAGTGTTCCAAAACGCGACATTAATTTCTTGACGACCTAATACATACATGCAGAAATCCATATAAAAAAGGTTTAATAAATATTGAATTCGCAGCTTACAACTCCACTATAAGAATTAAACATACATATTATAATGGGAACTTGATTTTTTCTTGTTTGTTAATAAATGGAAGCACTGCCAACTCATAGTAGAGATGGAGAACAAGGTATTGTAAACTCAAAAAAGTTATGTTACCAAAATAAAAGCCTACACTAAGGGAAATAGAAGATGCAGTAGTGTGATCATCTTTTCAAGTTTCAGCTGAGAACCATCTGTGTGAAAGGTCTATGCATTATCTTAAGTATGATGAGAGAACACTACATGTAAGCAAAAAGTATGAAATTAGTTTTAAAAGTCAACATCTTCCTTACCTGAAAATGTATTTGAGATAGATTCTCACCTCTCCACTAAACAGATAGCTAATATATGTGCCCACTGTTGAAATACTTACAAGAATATGCAACTTCAGGGATGAATCATACCAGAACTGCATCCCAAGAAGAACTCTTAGTGTTGAGGGTAGCCTGTACAACTCTTCCAAGTTGACTTCTTGACCTGCTTTGGATCAATAGGCAAATCTACTAATGATATTACACTCTGAAAGAGAACTCTCCATATTAACACCCTCCAATGGCTTGAGAATAGAGAGGCAAGAGCTCTCACATTCTACTAGATAAGAACCTAATGAGGAATTCACATAGCGGAGAACATGAGAAAGGTGCATGGACTGAACATGAATCATCTCACTTGCATAATTACCACAAATAGGGACAGCAGAAGCTGTGTTGTGGTGTGGTTGTGTAACCAATAATTTTTTTTAATATCCTTTATGGCTGGGAGGGTAATAAATAAATAAATATATACCATGAAGTAGTTTTAAAGAAAATCACATCTTGGTGAGTACTGGTAAGGGCAGAGGGGCTTAACACTTTCTGGCATCCCCTACTCAAATTTTGTGATACAAAAAGTATTCACTGTGAGGCAGCATCAGACACTTGGTGGGTTTCGTTTTTTCTGGTCTGTTCATGTATTGGTATTGTTTGTGTTTGTACATTTGTTCTTGTGGCTAAAAGGCAATACTTTAATGAAAAGAAACTGTCAACAACTCATCTCCTTAGAGCCTCTTGGAAGACTGGAGGGAGACGAACCCCAGAGACAGATAAAACTGCAATGTGGTGTATATAGTATGATACAAATGTGTCCAGGATATCCATTTCCCTGCTTATAAGATTTCAATAAGGAGACATAAATGGACAAAGACTAGATAAGCTGTGAGATGATAAACTTGATAAGAGATGAGATCAAAATGAAGAAAAAATCATCACTCATGCAGGAATATACAAGTTAGATGAGTTCTTTAACCTATCTAGTCAAAGTGGAAAGAAATAAATCTTAAGAAGAAGAGGAATCCCATGGCAAAAAAAAGATGATGATATTGATTGTCTCTAAAGGGAACTGTGCAAATGAGATAACAGCATACTGCCTGAACAGGATAAAGTAGATGATCAAGGTCTGTACCAACACACAGAGAAGAAACTGAATAGAGGGTGAAAGGGGAAAAAATCTGATTTCCTTTATGGGCAGAGCAAGTCTTGAGAAGGAAGTAGTAGTTTGGGAATAAACTCAACCTGTATCTGTGATAAAAAGAGTATGGGATGCATCTAAGGAAACAAGATCAAAGCAACGTCTCCTGCAAGAAATAAGAAGATATATATTTTATGAGAAAGATAATACAAGGAAGAGGTTGTCAAGTTTCAAACAGAGGACTTGTAAAAGCCCTGAGAACTAAGCAGAGGTTCCAGTCCAGAGGAAGAACTGGATGAAGAGGACAAGTGATTAGAAAGGCCCAGAAGAAGTTTATAAGAAACAGAGAAAGAAAAGAAAAACATCCAGAGCAAAGGCCAAAGGTCATCAACAAAGTCACTCTGTAATTGGTAAGCATAGAAACAGATGAGCCATCTCAAAAAGTGAGGTAAAAAAAGAAGTGAGATGACAAAGAGTCAGATGACATGAAAAAGGAAGTAACAAATGGACCAGCATGAATTTACTATCCACATGAGCTGCTAGTCTAAGGTTCGATGGCCAACAACAGTTAGCAAGAAAAACAGTCTACACTGTGAGAAAAAGCTACCCATCTTACAATGGACCAGACAATAATCACATGTGAAGATAAGGGTATGGCACATTTTGGTGAAAGATGGACAGCCAAGACTGATGTAAAATTGACCTTAAAGGTGGAAGAGATAAAAGGCTCCTGGATTACCAAGAGGTGAAGGTGGTCAATGAAGGGCAAGGAGGGAAACCCAGCAAAGAGTGTTGCAAATGATATACAGATGGTGAAAAAAGAAAAGATAGAGAAGAATCTGAGCAAGCAAAAAATGGTGGCCAGTAGATTGATGATAAGAGAGAGACAAAATATGAAAGGAAGATATATTCAAGTTGGAAGAAAAGATTCAAAGGTTGGAAGTTTGAGGAAAAGGGAAAGATTCTCACTGTAGGTCAAAGAATAGGATTTGTGAGGTTGGGGAGGACATGGCAACCAGGAGTTAACATGAAGTTGAAACAGAATAAAGTTGATATGAATGCAAATATCAGATGAGGGGGAAAAATAAGAAAGTCTGAGGATGAAGGCTCAGGAAGCAAAGCAGTCTGTGAGCCAGCAGAAACAACTAAAGTAAGATAAGGTATGTCACATACCTGAGATATCAGTGCAGAGAAGAATGAAGGTAGGGTCAGCTGAGCTTCAATGGGGAGATTACAATCAATAGAAGAAAAGGGTGAAAAGAGCTGGTAAAAACTGTCAAAAGACATGGCAGGCTCAGCAGAAACTATAGGAGAAGGCTGTAAATACTAAACGTCAGATAAAAAAATTAGAATGGAATCAACCATTAGCACAATAGCATAACATTACTCACCATCAAAGTGCCTCCAGTCAGCATTGTGAAGCATTTGCAGCATTTTGAGCCATTTTATGCTATATTCAAATGCTTCAAAAAATGAGAAATATAGTTTTATAAACTTCCATGTATGATATACATACATGCAATATGATGAAAAGTTGGGAACATCTAATGAATGCATATGAGGAGTTACACAAGGATGCGTGATAAAGAAAGGAAATGTATATGTCAAAGTATAAACTAAGATGCATTCCAGGTGGTACTGAAAATCAATGTTAACATTCTCTATAGGCTGATGCCATAGCAGCAGAGAGAAAGCTATGACAAAGTTTATATTAACTTCATTAGAGACTGGACACAACTTCCATAAAAGAAATTATCAAGGAAATCAGAGACTCTGGGTGGAACTTTGATCTGAAGAGGAAGAAGAGATCTCCTTCAAAAGCTTGGTGCATAAGCAAAAACATTTTGGATGTGGCACAAGATATTAAATATCTATTTTATGGGGAGATGATTAGAATGTTCTAAATAAAAAAAACTGTAACAGAAAAAAACAAGAAGAAGACATTAAATGTACAAAATGCAAACAATCTGCTACCTTGTCACTTTGTGAGGGAATACACCTGTGTTGTTCACCTGCAATGTGATGATTCATTTACAAGCAATAGAGCTATACTGAAAGACAAAAGTGGAGGTCAGATCAGAACATGGTAAAAATGAAGTGGATAAACTAAAGTACTGTGCAAGGAAGATGTATCATCCTCTTATTGATGAAGGAGTATAGTCTATTACTGATTGCATCATATACTAGTACAGTTCATTATTTATAGTGCCCACTATAAATGAATTGCTATATGACTACACTAAACTAGAAAACAGATGCTGTGTTCCCACACTAAACTAGAAAAGAGATGCTGTGTTCCCACACTAAACTAGAAAACAGATGCTGTGTTCCCACACTAAACTAGAAAACAGATGCTGTGTTCCCACACTAAACTAGAAAACAGATGCTGTGTTCCCACACTAAACTAGAAAACAGATGCTGTGTTCCCACACTAAATTAGAAAACAAATGCTGTATTCCCACATTAAACTACAAATCAGATGCTGTATTCCCACACTAAACTAGAAAACAGATGCTGTGTTCCTGCACTAAAGAGACATCAAATAGTTATTACATTTTAACTAAATGTGTTAGAGTTACATACAAATCACATTTTATATTATACTCACCTGTTAAAATATCCAGAAGAAAGAGCCTGTTGCACAGTAACTAGAACACAAGACAAGAAGATAAAAACACGAATTCTAGCAAATGGCTGCAAGCAATGTGGACGGAGGTTTAAAATGCCACATTCTCTCTCAAGTGGGTCACCTAATTGATGAAAAAATAATAATCAGATCACTAGTATTTACTAAGAAAAGACAACTAAACTTAACTAGTAAGTTATCAGCAAAGGTTTAAATGACACATTTAAAGAACTATCAATAACTACAATACATACCTTCACCCCTCAGCTCTAAAGAAAGGTGTTCAGTTTTTTCGGAAAGTTTAATGACTTCATGTGTGATAGCATTTGAAGAGTCAGTAATTTTGTAATGCGACATGAAATCACCAATTACAGTTTCTGTCTTGACCATACGAGTGTTGACATGATGACTGTAAAGACCCATGCTGGTGTAAAGAGAGAGATCTCGTGATGTGCTGCTTCCTGCACTCTTGGTGCGCCTGTGGGACCGCCAATACTGAATAGCTTCTTCTCTTGTGATTGTACCAACATATGAACTCCCATTTGCTCTTAAGTCTAAACAACTTGATGCCATTTTGAACAGACCAGAAGGTAAATTTCAAAGTTTAACTTACTAACTTGTTGACTCCAATTCTTATCTTCACTGTTATTTAATCTCAAAACCAAAATAACAAAATACTGAGTGTGCAGTTCTTTCTGTAGAGTTCTCCAAACATTTGACTAGACAGCAGAGTAGTTACAATCTTGTATAATCTAATACTTGTAGCCATCTTGAGGTAGCATTACCTGAAAGGGAAAAAAATCATTTTAAATAAATTAATTCAGTAATAAATGCATTTTGTTATGAATTACAAAGTTCCATAGCTTTGTCTCCAAACAAATATTACAAGGTTTTCCCCAAGAAAACTATGTAAGTAAAGAACAGAGAACGGAAAAGTTAATTTAACAAAATTAAACTGGCCAACAATAAAGGAATACAGAGGATAATTACAGACACCTATAAAAGCATCAATTTTTATGGGAATGAACTGTTGTCCACACAAACTAAAGTAGAAATGAACTATTGCATGCCCACATTAAAATGATCTGTTGCATACCCATATCAAACAAGAAATGAAGTCCTGTAAACCCAGAATACAGGTACAAATGATCTGCTGCATACCCATATCAAACAAGAAATGAAGTCCTGTAAACCCAGAATACAAGTACAAATGATCTGCTGCTTACCCATATCAAACAAGAAATGAAGTCCTGTAAACCCAGAATACAGGTACAAATGATCTGCTGCATACCCATATCAAACAAGAAATGAAGTCCTGTAAACCCAGAATACAAGTACAAATGATCTGCTGCTTACCCACATCAAACAAGAAATGAAATCCTGTAAACCCAGAATACAAGTACAAATGATCTGACTGCATACCCATATCAAACAAGAAATGAAGTCCTAGTAAACCCAGAATACAAGTACAAATGATCTGCTGCACTACCATAACGAAAGAAGAAAGTGAACTCCTACGTAAACCAGAAACTACGAAGTACAATG